TCATCCCACCTCATTAAAAAAGGTACAAGTCATATACATTTTTAATAAACTCAGATTGATTTCTGAACACAATTTGCTGAAAGATTTGGAAGCTCTCTGTGCAGCTGCAGAGCTGTGTGAGACCGCAGTGCCATACTAACCAATATGACCACAATAACACAATCATTGATTTACGACTGAGTCATCGCGGTTTCAATTCTCTCATCGTCCTGGATCAACAAATCAAATCAAACCGTCAACTGAGCTGCAGGAACAAGTTGGACTGGTGAGTGGTAACTATATCCGTATACCTGCGGTTTTGATAATGGTCAAACAACCACAGGTCACCTTCAACGAAGACTCTCAGCTGATAAAGACTTTCCTACGAGTGGCAGGGATTTATTTTATGTCTTTTGCTGAACCAACACCACGGACCAGTCGGAGACATCTTTGTGAAACCGGCCAAGTAAAGTTCCATTAACCTCAGCTGTGCCGCTTTGTTTTTAACCAAGTGGGAGCAGAGACAGATTTACCCACTGGGATACAGGCCACCTCTGCCACAGTGAGGTTACAGTAACAGGTGAGCTGTTTGCTGTACGACCTATATCCATTCAAACTTTTAATCTCAGTATTAAAGTTCGACTGTACGCCGGAAAATAAAGCTGCTAATGAATGTCAGCCAGTGTAAACTACTTGGACTTGATGGTTTGCAGCCAGATACACACTCCTTTGATCCGAGAGACTGGTTTCTCTTTCCACTCCACAGTGTCTGTAGCACAACGTCACAAGGTCCATGCGCTGACTGAGAGACAGATCAGCATCTGGCAAGAATCTCATTCTGTCTTTACATCCAAAGTGTAGTTTTAATTCTAAAAAGTCTATTAAGTTCTTTGTTTTCCTTTGCACACACTTTGTTTCTCACAGCTGGAATGAAAGTGGCGGATGGGAGAGATGATTATCCATTCATGCAAATACACACATATGTGAACAAAGAGTGTGCACAGTCAGTTCAGACATCAGGAACATCTCTGAACATTTCCTAAATGTTCGTCTCCTGCCTCCTCCCCCTTCACACTCAACGAGTCCTGCAGCCGTTACAGTCAGCAACAGCCACATCCTCCTCATAAATGTTATGTTAGCAAGATGCAGCCGCAGCATACGTCCTGCAGGCCTTAGCCCTGACCCTAACACCTACACCATCTGGCAACCAGCTGCCTCCCCAGTAGCTTTTTGCAGCATCAGCCATCATACCAAACAAACGCACTGACAACTAGTCTCAGCTGCAGCTTCCCGCAGCCTCAAAAAGACAACCTCCACCTTCAGCTTCCGGCAACAGGCTGCAACCTTCTACAGCCTCTGACATCCAGGTGCACATACAGCCATCAACACGTATAGCCCCAAGATGAAACCCGCAGCTGTCACCAGAAAGCTGTAACCCTAACATCCACCTTTCCCCCAGCCGGCGACGACACAACCCTGTGGCAGGCTTCAATAAGAGAAGCTGTGAAAGCCGGCTGAGCCACATGCACAGAGCACAACATCTTCTCAGTGAGGAGGAGGAGGAGGAGGAGGAGGAGAGAGAGGGAGCTGCAGCATGATCACTCAGGGCTAACATGTACAAAGAGTGGATTATGAAACTAACTAAAAGAAGAAGAAGAGGTCATTCACATCTGACACCAGAGGGCCTTGAACACAGACAGGGGTTATAGTCAACAATTTTATGTTTAGATCATGTGATAGTAACTACATCATCACCATGACCAGTCAGCAAACTCTATCCTCTGAGGAAGGCCATGAGGTGTGGCCCAAAAGCTTCAGCGTTTTTTTTTTTTTTTTTTAATGTTTTGGTAAGTAGCAGATCTCCGTCCCTTCTTCCAAACCATTGTTTACATGCCAGAGTACACAAACAAACACAGAGTGTATGTGGGACAGTAGCGTGCATGTAGACGCGCTCATTGTGCTTTCAGATGGAATGAGCCTTTTCCTCCCGGCCTCTCTGGCTCAGTTCCCCTTGGCACCGAGCGCCGAGCGGGGGCCGATAAGAACGCGCCCCTCTGTCTCTGCAGCACTCCGAGCATCCTGCGGCGAACGTCCGGAGTCCGACTGCACGCAGATGAGTCCGGCCACAAAACCTGCACCCGCTCCCTCCCCCCCCCCGCCCCAGAACAATGAGACGTTCCCATCACACGAGGGACGCAGGGCACGCGCGAAGCACGACAGGCCGCACCGTGCAACCGTGCATCGAAGATTTCATGCAGGCTGCAACAGTTCTGGGGGAAAAAAAAGTCGTGTTATCATAATAAGGAGGTTTTGGTCAAGGTGCAACAACCTGTGACAGGAGCGGTATCTCCCACTTTTTTGGACTGTGATAATATATTTCACACAAAATCAAACTGTGGTTCCTGATACGTCAAGAGAGAGAACATATTAACACCGCTAAATTATTTTAATCAATCATCACAGTGATCGCCACCCACCCATTCTCAGGAATCTGCTGGCTGTTGACCCAGTCTGGCTTAAGAAATTCCCACCAACCTGCATTCGCCTTTTGGGCAGTCCTACAGAAACGAGTCAGGCCTCTACACAAACAATCTATCTTCATCTTCTTTATTCCCATGACGAGCTATGATCTAACAGATAACACAAAATTCCTCAAACAAATACCTCAGATATCTCTCCCCCTCAAGATGAGCTGATAATCTGAAGCGACTTTCCAAATGAGCGCTCTGAAACTTTGCCAGACTTACTCATATGTTTATTCACTCATGGTCGGAGCATTAATTAATAGGTCGTCCGCTAAAAATGTCTGGTTTTGTGACAGAAGGCGTTGAGTGTGGTGTTGGACTGTGGACGCATTCCTGTTTCATGACAGCAGCAGCGGGGAAACTATCTTTCAAGCCCAGGACGCAGACGCAAGAAAAGGAGCAAGGGAAGGATCTGACCTGAGGGGGGAAAAGCCGCTGGTGTCCGACCCGAGTGTGACAGCTGAGCGTCCAGCTGCTCCCTCTGCTGCTCGTCTCTGCTCAGACAAGAGGTAAAGCAATGACTGTGCTCAGGTGTCTCACGCCAGCGCTGCGCACGAGCTCTCCTGCAGCGACGAGCCAAATAAATAGTCAAATAAATGATGATGCTGTCAACATGAGTGCGTTGGCAGATAAAAGAGAAAGGATTTATACTTGAATGAGTGAAATGACACCTCCACAAAAGGTTTTGTAGTTATTGTATCGCATTTCCCAGAAGGACTAAATAAAAATAATAATAAAACACACACACAACTGGATTGAGGAGGTTCTTTGGATTGTTTTGGTTCTCTGCTCTTTATTTAACTTAAGAATATATCACCTAATAGACCTGATTTAACATTTAAGAATAAAAACAGTGAAGAAATCACAAGGTCCAAACACTCACTTCTCTAGTGTGTCCAAAGCTTTCAGTCACATCTTGTTGCCTCCCTCAGCAGATCTGCTCCCCTGGTCAGTATATTAGTTTGTTTATATGGATGAATATATACAGTATATATATATATATATATATATATATATTTGCAAACAACAATACTGAGAAAACAGTTGTAGAAAGTCTCCCGTGGCTTCAGAGGAGCTCTCTAAGGTCTGGCACAATAAACAGCTTGGGTTTAGAGAGGACACTGGACCTTTTGACAGGTGGGAATAAACAGGAAGTTGACATGGACATGGAGGGTCTGCAGAGCACCGCAGGGATGAGCGGTTCTCTCAACAAAAAGCCAGTGGGATTTTTACTTTGGCTTTTGGATTACTGCAATAAAAAAAGTTTTATGATAATTAAACGTTTTGTTCGGCAGGATAATCTTCGCAAATGACGCCACTCTTATGATTTTTGAAGCCTAAATACATCGGCAGAAGTAAAAGCTAATGCTAATGCTAATCCACAGTCGCATGACTTCAACGTCACTATAAGCCTCCAACTTCTAGTATGATTTATGCTAACTAATTTCCAGGTTTTAGGACTCATTCCTCCCGCACTCTATTAAGGACACAGACGAGTTGCATTATGGGAAATGTAGGATCCAGCGTTTTGGGGGGGCTCGACTAACATTTGACATTAAAAGTCAGGACACCTTGGCCTCTGCTGCATCAATTCTGAGCACTCCTGCAAGTCAGCCATTGTTACAGAAATGCAACAGTAAATATCTTGACATGCCCCTTTAAGTACAGGCTAATCATTAGAAGCAAAAAGTGATCATCCAAAAAATAACAGGGGTTTCCTTTTAGAAGGGGAATATCCTCTGTTTGCATCATACCACCAACTGTCCTGATAGCGTTAACAGCCTAATGCAGGCAATTCAATTCATTACACTAATCAATTTAGCAATTACTCAATCATCTTGCGGCCAAAAGCAAATTTTTTTCCTGTGAAGCGTTATGTAAATAAGGAGCGTGAACTCTCCCCGGACTTGAATCAGGCCTCACTCCTCCTCCCTCTTACTAGGCCCCTTCAAGGAATCTCCACATATAAAAACCTTTTCACCTCCCTCCGGAGAGAGCCAGAGGAATGCCTGCCTTGCCAAATTCCTCAACGCTGTTTGTTGGGGCTTACAGTGCTAGTAACACAGGCTACCAAATACCAAAGCGAGAAGTCACTGCGCTCAGAGACGGCCGAACATCAATCCTGCGCTGTTATTGTAATAGTATGATGAAAAAAAAAACACATTTATTGAGAACCGTTTTTCACTTTATTGTCATTTCCGTCGGTGCGTCCTTCATTAGGAGAGCAGTAAAAAACAGAGCGATTCCCCTCGTGGCCTTTCAGTGTCTCTGAGGTTCGGCGCCCCACATGGTTGATATTAACATTCCATACGCTTTCTAATGGTGAGGACAAAGCAGGCCGCAGGGGAGGGTTCATGACAGCATTGGCATGGTGCACACATTCCTGCATTACTAGCTGGAGGTGCTCCGGGTGGTGGTGGTGGTGGTGGTGGTGGTGGCGGTGCTGGGGGGGTGGTGGGAGATGAGTAAACAAGAAAAATAAGGAGAGCTACAGTACGAGCTGCCTCCTCTCCCTCCCTGCTGTCTGAGACGTCTGGACAGACGTGTACATATGTGGTATTTCCTCAGTTATCACAGACAGTTATCGCAGGGAGGACGGACGCCGCTTTGGCACATGGGAACATTCCTTTCTCTGGGTGTTTTAATGCAAAGCGAACATTAATAATGCATTTCGGGCAACTTGAAAAATTGGAATGTGCAGCTTCCAACGAGAAAAAGTGGCCATTTTAATCTATTAAAAGTCCAGATAGATTTCAACCCCGAGCTGATCGGGAAACCTGTCACCAAATGTAAACGTTAGCTCCAATAGAAAGCATCTCGTTTTTGTTTTTTTTCCCACGGTGCAACACTCAGACATCGGCGCTCGCACAGGCTGGAATGGATCGCAGCGTAACATAAAATATCTTCGGCACAAGAGCAAACACGTCTGGCATCTTCAGTATGTTTACAGTTAAACTACTGCACATACAGGCAAACTGTTTGAATTCGTTATGGCTGCACACAGACACATATCCAGAGAAAGCTGAGCTAATCAGCTGTGCAGGACAAATACGTTGTCAGAAATGCAACATGCTACTCAATGCACTTTGTTCATATTTATTCCACCTCACTCAATCACTGACCAGTCTGTACAGACGTCTGGGCAGACTCAGGCTCTGAGCCGCTGGGCAGGTACTTGGACACGGTCCTGACGTTGCTCTCCCTCAAGCTCTCGATGTGGGTGTCCAGTCTCTGGAACAGCTCCTCGGTCCGCAGCACCTCCTCCTCTACGAAGCGAGAGACCATGCTGTCTGCAGGTGACACCGATACCGAACGCTCCTGGGAAGCAGGAAACACACACACAATGTGTAGAAAGAAAAAAAAAGAAGAAAAGAGGACAGTAGAGTGTTACCTACATCACAACTGTGTTCTCACCTGTGGAGAGGTCGAGGGAACGGTTTTTTCTCTGGACACGAGACTCAGAGAGTCTTCGGAGCAGGAGCTTTGTCCCTCAGCAGCAGATTCATTCGAGCCTAAGGTCGGCACCGAGTTTCTCCTGGTGCGTCTCTTGCTGCTGGAGGAGGAAGAGGAGGCGGAGGATGCTGATGAATGAGTCCTGCTGTCTTGGGCCTGGCTGCAGGGCTGGTCTGTGGGGGACTGGGACAGGGTGTGCAGCTCTTTAAAGAGCCTCTGGATCTGTCCCTCATAGCAGGTGGTGTTGTCCTGCAGCTTAGCCTTTGAGGCCTTCATCTCCTCCCGGTATTTGTGACGTCTGGTATTTTCATTCCTGCAGATAAAACAAGCAGCGGTGCATGAGGGCTCAGTTTCTTGATCTTGTGTGCTTGTGTGCTTGTGTGCTTGTGTGTCTGTGTGTATGGCAGCTACCTGTCCTGAGCAGGCTGCGGTCGGTCAGTTATGCCGTGGCAGAGCAGGGCTCGTTCATATTTATCCTGGCTGGACCCCTCAACCTGGGCCTGCATCTCACTGAGCGCCTGCCTCAGATGTTGATTCTCTTGCTCCAGGCTGCTCAGGTTGGACACATAGCTCTCCCTCAGGGATGCAAGCGAGGACTCCCCCCTCTGAGAGGAGAGACGTGATTCAGGAGAGAGAGATGAGTCAGATTTAGACACAAGTCTAAGGCTGAAGTCAAAGGCTGCCTTAAGGCGGTCTGTACAAGCATGTCATGACTACATGAACAACTATGTCAAAGCAGACAAACCGTGGGTGACTGAGACTCCAGTCTCTGCAGCAGACCCCTCAGACGGTGGTTCTCAGTCTGTTGAGTCTCCAGCTGCGCCTGAGTCATCTGAGAAAGCCAGAAACAAATACTGCATGAAGATTGTGGCTATTTTTGTATCGTAAACTACATTTTTTTATTATACAAACTAAATACTTATGTGATAGATCTTGTGTCAGACCAACAAAAAGCCATCACATCAACAGACATGAAGAAAGAAAGTTATCCATGTCCAAAGGTGTTTATTGACTCACTTTAAGCTCCGCTGCCTTCTGCTCTGCTCGCTCCACCTCGCCACGAAGCTGCTGCTTGATGCCGGACGAGGAGCCGCTCAGCGAGGCGATGGCGAGGTCGCGCTGGTGCAGCTCACTGGTCAGCTTTGACACCTCCTTCCTCATCCCCTCCACCTCACCACTGTGAGTCTGCTGGGCCCTTTGGAGCTCTTCTCTGAGCTGCAGGGAAGTACGATTGTGATTTGATGTCAACGGGGTAAAAGGTGAGACAAAGAAAATACAGCATGTCGGAGGAAAAGAGGAAGTTTTCTGACCTTTTTCATCTCAGCAACAGAGGAGTCGTACTCGGCTTTTACGCTTCTCAGATCCTGCTCTGTCTTTGAGTGGTCAGCTCTCTGTCGGGTCACCGTATCCAGCCTGAGTAAACCACCAAAACACGTCAGGGACAAAACACGTCAGGGACAAAACATGTCAGGGAAACCAGTGTTGATTTTGCAAATTCAAAAACAAACAGAATGTCAAGCTTATTTGTCCAAGTTTATAATAATGTGGGCGTGTAAACACTCACCTCTCTTTGAGACAGGCCAGTTCGGCCTTGAGATGAACCTCACACCCTTGGGCACAGTGAAGCTTGGTTGCAGTTCTCTCCAGATCTTGCCTCAGGGTTTGGACACCAGTGCAGCCCTGCGCCGCGACACAGTCCTCCAGAGAGCTGCACACACAGGAGAACATCCACAAAACACAACTTCATTTCACCTGTTTCTGCCTTTCTCTTGAACCAATGCAGAACAGCAGCAGTGCATCCTCCCCACACAACGGCACAGAACGCCCTCTTGTGTCGTTGTTGCTGTACTGCATCATGACAGACTGAATACACAGTAATGACAGGCGGAGATTCACCCACCGAATGACTTGATCTTTAGCTTCCAGGACTCGGTTGAGTCTCGCAGCCTCGTTACGAAGTCTCTGACGTTCCAAACTGGTTCTTCGCACAAATGAGTCCTGAGAGTCCAGCGTGGCGTGAAGTTCCTCCCGCTCCTCTGAAAACACCTGTGGAACCATCACATGATGAAATTATATTTCAGCATCACTGTTATTGTGTCTAACGCACAGTGGAATAAAATGCGTATAACAGACTGTTATTTTCAAGGTAATATCAGCACATTTTTCTCTTGCGTTAGTATTTTCCAGAGTGGGTTCAGGTTAATGTGACTTTATCTGCAGCTGTGATGAGCTAAAAACTTCCCTGATGAAAAACTGTTCAGTTGTGATTATGACTGCAACAAAATGTTTCACTTCAATCAATCAATTATCAATTAATAATATAAAAATAAATAAATGATTTCCTCTTTTATTTGATTAATCGTTTAAAATGTCCAATTGCCTGTTTTGTCCAAAGAAAAGCAGCAAATTCTAACATTTAAGAAGGTGGAAATAAAGAATCAGTTGTCTGACAGATAATTAATGGGCAACTATTTTGATAAGTCCTAGTCCATGTAAAATATTCACAGTCCAGTGTGAAGATTTTCTTTTCTCTCTCATGTGACAGTGAACTGAATATTTTTGCTGCTGGCTGGAAAAAAAAACAAGCAATCTGAAGACATAACTTTGACCTTTAGGAAATTGTGATTGTAAAAGTAAAAGTTTCTTCCCACTATTCACTGCCTTTTTAGAGATGAAAGGATTAATCAATACTTGTTGGTTGCAGTCACATAATAATCAGAGTTATTTTAGGAAGCTTCATGATGGATTCTGTTTATTGAGCCGTTTTGAAGCATCACACTGAAATATTCTTTATCGTGGTCGTCTCTGCGCTGACGTCACACTGATTTAAACTGTATCATTTCACATTAATATACACTATGTTTAATGGCCTGTTGTTCATAAACATGTCACTGAATTCCTTGGTTATCTATTTCTTCCTCAATATGGGACGGTAGGGGCTGCACTGCTTGCATATGTGTGTGTCACTGTGTTCACCTGCTGCTCTCTCTGGTACTGTCCCAGACACATCTCCAGCGGTCGGAGTCGCTCCAGTTCGAGCTCGTGTGAGTGCAGGCTGCTCTGCGTCTTCTCCAGCTGAGTGCGCAGACTCTGCGCCTCTGAACAGCACTCCCTGTGCTCCCTCTCTCTTCGCCCCGACGCCCACTGGGACTGGAAATCAGATGAGAGAAAATATGAGTGAAAAATGACCCGACTCCATTAAACTGTGTCTGATTTGACATCACATGTTAAAAGTTCATAGTCTGCTTTTACTTTCACGTGTGTGAGCTCGTCGGTCAGGCTCTTATTCTGGGCCTCCAGTGCTGTCAGCTGTTTCTGGTGCTGGATGTGTTGCTGCTCCCACTCTGCAGAGCGCTGGTGATATTCCTGCGAGGATAATTATGCTCAACATAACCAGCAGATGGCAGTAAAGGGCTGTTTGTAGGAGACTGGGGTCATGTCAGGGAAAGATGAAGATGGGAAACTGACTGTTGTACCTGGAGTTTTTCCTGCAGCTGGGTCACCTCTGAAAGGTCTGTGTCTTTGGCTCCTCCACTGGACTCCTTGAGCTGTTTGCGCTGCAGCTTGTGGTAACTTCTCTTTAATTTATCTAACTGCAGGATAAAATGTTCAGTTTACAACCAGAGAGACCTTGAGTCTGCACATCTGTAGTCTGCCTTTGTTTAATTGTGTAACAGACGAGTTGTCTCACCTCTTCACGGACTTTCTTCAGTTGTTGTTCATACTTGGCGACTAACTCTTGTCGATCGGTCTGGACGTCTTCTACCTGTTTGCGGAGCAGCCCGATCTGTGGTTGGGGTGAAGACGGCCATGGTATTGTAAAAACATGGATCAAACATTCACATAACATCATTCAGGAATATGAGTATCATGCAAGAGTTCTGGTTTGGAAGAAGAAAACTTTAGCCCTCTAAGTTCAGATTGATGAGCTCCAGTTCAGTATGTGTGTGTATGTGAAAACCCATATTAGGTGGAACAAAGAAGCCTCGCTGATTCAGCTGCGTCACCAAACACTACAATATAATTTCAGTAAGTGTCTTCTACTTCACCTCCAGCTCCCTCCTCTCAATGAGACTCCTGGAAGTAAACAGCTCCTCTTCTCTGCTCTTCAGCCTGAGCCCCAGGGCCTGGATGTCAGCCTCCCACTCCCTCTTCTGATGATTGATCATTATGTCAATCTGGCGCATCAGCTCCTGCAGCTCTGGCTCACAGGATGACAGGACGGAGCTGGAATATAGATTATATACCGGATATAAGTATCAAAACAAAAAATACCACATCACAGGGAGGCTACCATATCTGCAAGCGCTAACCGCCACCTGTGATGTTAAGACTCAAAGTTAGTCAGCTAGTCACTGGTTTTAGCCCCAGTTTACGTTACCTGAGATCAGGATTCTGCAGAGATCCCAGAGAAGCCTCCATCTGGTTGGAAGTGTTCATCGAGTTTTGTTATTAACTTCCTGACAGTGAACTGTCTCTGTGGACACTTTAAACTTACCTCAAGCTAGCTTAACAGTTAAGTTGACTAACCTAGCAACCTCTGTGACAGCATTAACCACTAACCATAACCAAGCCGAGCTGCCAGTTAAACTGCGTGAGTTGAAATTAAATAACGAACGTTACAACAGCTGATTGAAGTTTCTTACATAGTTCAGCGCGTCTAACTACTTTTGTTTACATCGTTAAGTGAAACTACATTGTACAACTGCACTGGATACAATGGTGTAAGGCGGTAACTCCACCCTCCAACCTGTGACCTCATCACGTCGTACGTAACTCCACTGGTACTGGAGTTACACATGAGGTTCTGTATCTAGGTGCGTTATCTCAACGATCAAACCTTATTAGAATATTTACCCAATCGCCTACCTCTTGAAGTTAGAGACTGCTGCCGTGGTGACGTGTTGTTTTGCATTTCACACAGTGTAATGACGCGTGGCTCCACAGCCTTTATTTCCATAGCCCGAGGCCAAACTGACGCAGGGATGGCAATACGAAGGTTAACGATATGTAATCAAAATAATCATTAATACGTGGAAGAAGAACCATCTTATTACATAGCAACAGTTCGCTCAAATCGAAGCAGTTACAAAAGTTTAAATTGTATTGTATCTCCTCAACTGGACACGTGGCTCGTTGGTCTAGGGGTATGATTCTCGCTTCGGGTGCGAGAGGTCCCGGGTTCAAATCCCGGACGAGCCCAATTTTTTTCGAGTATCGGTGAAGCTACTATACAAATATCGCTAACGCTTAGCCGCGAGTAGCTACTTAGCAACAACAGCAAACACCCAGTGCCGCACAGCGCTCTTAATGCAGTCATTATACAGTGTTTGTCCCCTAGCCGTATGATACATGGACAGAAATTTTCACGTTTTACAAACAAAACGTTGTACACTGCGTTGTTGTTCACCGAGCTTTACCTTAACGTTAGCAATAGCTAACAAGCTAGCTGCGTTCTTTGCGGGCGTGCTAGAGATATTTCACGCGTGTCACGGGTTTTCGAGTGGAGCATAACTTAGAAAACACGCAGCCAGGAGTAAAAGATCTTAAACATAAATAACAAGAGCGTAAAACCAAAAGAACAAGATACATTAAGTTATCTATTTAATTACAGTGATACACCCAAAGTAGTTGTGGGCTGGTTTGTGGTCACTAGGGTATGATTTCTCGCTTTGGGTGCGAGAGGTCCCGGGTTCAAATCCCGGACGAGCCAATTTTTTTTTTTATTGAGAAGAATCTGTTTATCTATCTAATCAGTTCATTTTAATACATCCAAGTTTCTAACGATAGTTGTACTTTTTGAAATAGGTGGGGGGGGGGGGGCTTAATGGGCTCGTTATCACTGTTTGACTCCCCCCCCCCCAACCCCTCTCCTCCTGCAAATTTCCCACACCCGTTTCTCCACCTGCCCTCCAACAAAACTAAACAAAGCGCGTCCCCTCCGCCCTGCTTCCCCAGCTGTTGTGCTGTGAGGGGTTTGGGGCATGCGAAGAGAGAGAGAGAGAGGGAGAGGGAGGGAGAGAGAGAGAGAGAGAGAGAGAGAGAGAGAGAGAGAGAGAGAGAGAGAGAGAGAGAGAGAGAGACTTTTCTGTTCTCGCCCCCACAAAACACATCAGACACTCCCAACAGGCGGCAGACGAGCCGGCTCTCCCTCTCTATTCACCTAGGACTGAAGGAGCATCGAGTCTGTCACGGAATATATGCAAACAGTAAGTTCATTTTTTTATTATTAAAAAACTTCTCTTCTGCTATGATGTGTAGTAGAGGATACTGGGTTGTTGTTCTGTTAGATTTAATGTTCATGTCTGAAATAATATAATAACACTAGGTGGGAATAAACTATATATATTATGGTTAAACATGTTCAACAAAAGTTGTTTCTGTCTTGGTAGAACAGTTTAGAATAGAAAAAAGTAAGATAATTGATATATTTGAAATTCTGTAATTATTACCTGTGTGAAAAAGTTTTTAGTTTGTTCTAATATTAAGTATTTCAACCACAATTTGATTTAACAGAGAGAAGCAAACTGGGAACCAGGACCAATCATCTACTTCAACAAGCCCTTATCACAAGTGCCACTTCCTAAATAGTGTCATTACGAGTCATTTTTTACTGTCAGCTTCTTTCATCCTGTGGCTCACCGGTTCGGCTCGACCATGGTTCTGTGTGAGGACGGTGAGTGCAGCGTCTGCCTCTCGCCCTACTCGAGGATGGACAGGATCCCCCGGGTGCTGCACTGCAGGCACACCTTCTGCGAGCCGTGCCTGGAGACGATGTCCCAGGCCAGGAGCGGGCTGCTGACCGTGGGCTGCCCTCTGTGTCGCCGGGTGACCTGCATAGGCCGCGGCCTCAGCCTGCAGGAAGCTCTGTGGGTCAACAGCCGGCTGTGGGAGCAGATACCAGAGGAAGTGGACGCAGAGGCCGAGGAGGAGGAGGAGGAAGAGGAGGGGGAGGAAGAAGACGGACTGAAGCAGGAAGCAGAAGGGGAGAGGATAGAGGCTAAACAGCAACCTTCATCACAAGCAGAATGGTGGGTATGAGAGTGAACACATTTACACGAGGAAGGACTGGTCTGCTGTATCTGCATCTTCAATCAGAGACATTTACAAACAGAAAAGCTAACAATGTGTGACCTTTGACCTCTCGTTGTTTCCTATTAGTACGCTAACTGTTGAGAGTTTCTCCCTGGTTGGCGTGTTGAATTTAAAGAATTTTAACCAGCCATTCACACGCTGACGTTAACCAGCACATTTGTCCACAGAGCTCCTCATTAGCACCTCAGCTCGGCGGTGCCACGTTGTGTTTGCAGGAGTCTGACACACAAAACCTTTACCTCTCAGTGTTTCCTCCAGGTCCTCCAGAACAAAGCTCAAATTACCCGCCTTCTTCCGAAAGTTCAGTCTGACGAAGCAGCACCAGGAGAGGATCGTGCCTGGCAGCAACGTGTGAGTCCTGATTTTGCGGTAAACATCTGCAACAGCGGAGAAATTTTTCTTCAAATGTGAGCTAAGATTTTTTTTCTGTTTTTCTTTTTGAAGGGAAATGAAATCCTGGCGCAGACTCTCAACTGAGGAGACAGTTTGAAAAAAGGACAAAGAGTAATGTCACATGACGCCTCGTGAAGACCTGACTCAGCCTTGTCAGTGGAAGGAAAGTTGAAGCCGTTAGGACCCAGGATCCATTTGTGCTCCTGTCAGGACAATGTTTTGTCCTCAGCCAAAGGTGCTCTGTCTCCCCATTATTTATTCTAGGCTTAATTCTCCCAGCTGGTGCTGTGGGATTTGGTTCAGCTGTCCCAGTGGGGCTAACACCCCAAGACCCCCTCATAACAGATGGTCTCCTGAGGACGTTCCCTTTTACCTAGCCACAGCTGAACATTGAACATAACATATTGTTTTCTTTAATTTATGATAGTCGACAAAGTATTTAATAAAAAAATATTTTTTAAAAATTCTTTATCGGTGTTGTTATTTACTAATTAATGCTGATGCCACGTGGTTCTGGGGAGACGACGGTCGTTTAAAAGAATCATGAGCTCAAAGCAAAGACACGACACTTTCCCACTTTTCTCTGTAAATCATTTATGACACATTACGAATTTACGTGACTGAAAATAAGTGAAGCCACCGGGAGATTTTGTGAATAGCATAATGTGAGTGTTACTTCTGTGGGCACGACACACACAACAAAAAACATGTCACAAAAGACTCACTCAACCATGAAAGTGGATTATAAACTCCATTCAATGAGCATCTGGCAAGTTTTCCATGTTAGAAGATATTAGAAAATCTGGATCATCACTTTCATGGAAATGGCCTTTTAATCTTTTGTGCACATATCAGTTCAAAAATATACAGCACCTACCCCACTGTGCATGTGCAGGGTGGAGTTATTGTGTTTGGCGTCTCAGTCATATTAAGGTCATTGTTATTGTCTGTTTGAAAACACACTGGGAGGAGGAAGAAAACCGTTAGCTGACATACTGGTTACACTAGTCGTAACGGGGATGCCTTAACTACGCCTGTGAAATACACTCGATGACTGGTTTGGTATTTAGCCTTTTAAGTGCCATTTATATATTCCCATGTTTCAGTATTATCACAGCGACTGACTTGAGCTGCTCTAAAATGCCAAACAGGGAGACGCGCATTCCAACTTCTAAATGATCTGGCATCAGCTGTGTTTGGCTGTCACGGCGGTCTGGACTGCAGCAGGAAGGCAGACAGCACACAAACAGCAACAGGGTTGTGAAAGTGGCAAGGGACCAGTTTTCAGTTTCGCAATGTATTTACTGGCTCTCCCGGTGTGGCCCTCACAGTGTTGATCACTGGGATTAGGTTGGAGCAGAACAGGAAATAACTCCCAGGGCAGGTTGGCGGCGGCAGAGGAAGTGCTCAGATCATTTACTCAAGTAAAAATAACAAATAAGATCAACTGAATCAGTACGAAATAATATATTAAAAATGTTTTAAAAGTAGAAATGCTCAACTATTACGCATATATAAGTGTAAAAAGTGTCATCTGTTTTGTATTTAAACTCTTAATCTGTAAAGTAACAAGTAACTACAGCTGGTGTTTTACTCTGAAAGGTCGTGGAGTAGAAATATCAAGTAGGAACAAATAGGAATAATTAATTAATCAGTATAAGTATCTCAAAATTGTACTAAAAGCTTCATACTGGAGTAAATGTACGTAGACACATGGCACCAGTGCAGGTGGCTCTGGTCAGTCTGACGACTGAGGCAGTTACTACACTAAGAGCCACAAACAAAAAAACAAACCGATGTTGCAAAGACAGTTTCCTCATCGCTGCCCATTACAACAGGCAGAAGTACATTCCTCTCCGAGTGTGTGTCCTGCACTGAACGGCTTTTCTGAGGACCTGGATTAAAACATTAACACCTCGAGTGCTGGTGTGTTTTTTGCAAAACAAAGTCTGGGACAGAAAGTGCAACAAACTACAACAGAACTTCAGAACATTGCCAATATTTAAACTGTATTTTACACTTTGGTTTTTGCTGTTAAAGTGAGTTTTGCAAGAGCTGGCGGGCTGGTTTTGTTACTCGCCAGGCGAGCTGTCACTTCCTGTTTCCAGTCTTTATGCTAAGCTAAGCTAAGCTAAGCTAGCTGGCTGCTGATGGTAGCTTCATATATGAGTGGTATCATCAAACAAAAGGAGAATGTGAATGAGGAAATTTCAAAAGGTGAAAAACTTTACACAGAAAAACACAAAAATGTATTAAAGCCTTTAAGATTTGAGTTGATGTCGTGTTTACATTGTGTGTTTTTTAATGAATTAGCATTTTTTTTTAAATGATTAAACATTAATTGACAATCATACAATGGCTCATCCTTGTGTTACTCCAGTTCACAGGAATCATATCCAGTCATCAGTAGAAACTGGGGACATTCGATGTCGTGTCAAACTAGAAACCATACATGCCGCCACATGTTTGATTACTCGTTCCGCACCTGTTTGACACAACTATTGCTTCATTATCTGTGACCTAAACACACACACTGTGTAGATCCGTCAGCTGGGTGCAGAGAGAGGCGAAAGAAGAAACAGGCGTTGTGTGCGTGACTTTGGTAATAAGACATCTTTATTAATCATTTGGAGAGACATGCTAGATCTCTGTACAGTGTGAATGGAGAGTCAGCTCTGGACTGGTCAGGTCTGCTGCTCAGAGCTGTGACAGAACATACACACCCTCAGGGAATGGCCATGGCCTCCATCTTCAAATGCAGACCCGCCCCACCGCCACCGCCACCGCCACCCCCAACACAACACAACACAACACGCAAAGACTTGTGTTGCATCACTTGGTCCATTTTCAAGGGGAATGTTAAAATGGGCCTTTCGGGGGAAACCAAAGCAAAGGTGGGCTCTACTTTCATATTTAAGGTTAAATACAAAGGAATGTCTATAGCTACCGATCAATCATTTTGTCCACATTTAAAAATAAATACCCACTGAGTCTTTTTTTCTCTAAAAGTGCTCTCCTTTACAAGGCTGTGTGGTCAGTAATGAGAGCAGTACATTCCTGTTTCAGTAAAATAAATAGGCAGCAACACAGAGGGTTCAAACGTTATTAGACTTGTTTTTTTCTTTTTCTTTTTTCCAGTACGAGGGATTCAAACTTGAAATGCAACCTGTCTTTGTCATTCCCAACACCACCAGTGTGTTCCAGTCAAGGTCTCCTGTGATATTTGATCCAACTCGGTCTCTTATTACTATTATTGTTATCATTATTATTATTTTAATCATTATTATTAATATTATTATTATTATTATTTGGCTCATTATGTGGGTTAGAAAGGTTCACTAGTTTTCACAAGAGTGCTCCCCTTTTTTTGGACAAGTGTGAACAATTCATGAACGTTTTCCTCTACTCTAAGACACAGTACCCCAAAAGTTCTGGGGATAAAGATTAATTTTTTTTTTTGTTGTTTTTTGTTTGTTTTTTTGTTGTTGTTGTTGTTGTACCACGTTTCTAAGACTTAACATTGTCACTCTAATTCTAAAACATGTTCCTTAAAAAGTGCAGTAAGATTTCACTTCAAAGACGAGTCAAATCAAAGTAGTGTTCTCGACACTGGCTGACTTCACCACCAGTACGTTACGATTTCAGGCTCTGGTAAGAAAAGAAAAAAGAAAGAAATAAAAAAATAAAATAAAAAGAGACAACATTGCATAAAGACAACATCAGTAGTCAGTTTAAACACAAGCAGCAAAAGAAAACCTCATCTCAGTGGGGACATGTCGTGCGACAGTTTCTATGACAATCAGACAGGTCTTAAATTAAGTGACTATACATTTATAATGAAGCTTTTCAGAACTTCATATTAACCTGAAAGGTCTACATGTGCAAATTAGTCTCTTGACAGGAATGAAACTGGTTTACAATGTTAACGGTCTGCGCTGATCACAGAACCTGCATTAAAGTCTACAGCTCACCACGTGGGGAACCTTTTTTTCGTCTTTACGTTCCTCTGTGACACAAGGCAACGGCTTCCGGTTCTCCACTGCTCACTGCTCACGTGTGGATGTAGCAGACTATCATGATCACAACTACCGAGACGTCACACTGCTACCGCTGTGAGTGGGGGAAGTCTAATGACATCCTGCAAACAAATGGGTGACCTACACGGTGCCGTAATGTGGCGAGAATGACACGACTTGGCAGTGGCCCTCTCTGTCTGCATTCTAATGTTGCCTATACAGAAAGCACACGTTTACACACACACGCACGCACACACACACACTCGCACGCACGCACACACACGACAAAAAAAGATTTTCTGAAGTCAAGTATACAAATCCAGTTCTCATAAACAAAAAGACTTGGACTAGTCGTTATCAGAGTGCATTAAGTCACTGGTGTCATGTTACCATTCACATGTTCAAACTCGTGTTCACACGGTACCTATGCTCGAAAACTTAGACATGCATTAGATACTCAAGATGTTACTGTTCAGTTTGTCCTGTAACGTACAGAAACGCAAAGTTATGGAGAGCACTGGGGTTATGGGCGCCGTGATTGGTCCACCGAAAACCGCGAGGCTCGGCTGAGGCGGAGAGATTTTTTTTTTTTTTTTTTTAAAGCCTGCAGATGGTTAAGTGAAGGCATGAAGTCGAGAAAGGTAAGAGTTTGGCCTTGGTTAACATTTTAGGGGACCTCCATCTTTGCCTCTAACAACAGTGGCATCCATAAGAATACGTCTTAAACCATCTGCTCCGTCCCAGCTCTCTGACGCAGAGCCTCGTTGTTTGCATTTAAAAACAAAAACAAAAACAAAACAAAACAAAACAAAACAAAATAAAGAAACAACCCTTCCAGAGAGATTTCCCTGAATATACAAAATTACAAAAAAGAAAGTGGGGAAACTTGCTTTTCTACTTAAAAAATTGTATACACATAATATGTAACTTGGGATCTTTTTTCACATTCGTCTATTTTTTTTTTCATTTTTTTTTTGTTTTTGTTTTTTTGCAAGTTGTAAGACTGTTTTTCTTTTTTTTGGCAGTTTCACTAACAAAGTAGGCTACACTACTCCAGAACCAAATTCACATATCGATAGTTCCAACTGATGAACCAATAGTCAGGTGAGGAGGCCAGATTCTTAACGTGCAAAGTCGACTGCAGGTTAACCGACAGGAAGCAACATAACAAGCATGTGGTGTAAATGATTTTGTTTCCGTTTTTGTTTTGTTTTTTTTGTTTTCTTCTCCAGGACAGGTGCCGGGTATTAACAGGAACAGCCGCCTTCGGTGGTCTGGGGCTCCTGCGGTTTGTCCAGCTTGATGTCGATCACTGGGGAACGTTAAGGAAGCTTTGGAAACACTGGTTATTGATCAGTTACATGCACCTGAATGCAGCAGAAATGCAGAGAAAACGTGCCGACTTATATGTATTACTTTAAATGTAATACCACTTTACTAACACTAGATGCTGCTATATCCCACGGCTCCGTGTATTTTTCAGATCAGGAATCAACAATCAATCAATCAATCAATCAATCAACAGGCAACGTATTTAAAACAAGAGTCAACAATAAACGACTGAATAATTTACCAGAGAAATTCAGTTTAAAATATTTTTCCTAATAAATTTATTTCTAAATAATTTAATTTGGAGTTTTCCTGAGTGGAAATAAATATATATAAAAAAATCCACTTCTGATAATTTGTACAAATGATTCAGTTTAACAAGGAATCTTCTCCTCTATTGTTAGAGGAGTAATAAACTGAGACTGGATGCTGGCTACAGTCACCAGCACTGCTGTGCCACAATTAAAGCTGGTGCACAATGCTGTGTTAATGAGTTGCTGCTGTTCGTCAGAGTGATTTAGCTTTTTTCCCTCCCCACAATGCAGATTAGCTGTTGTTCCCAGTCACTCCTCCAGAGCAGGAAGAGATCTCCTCTGGTTTAAGGAGACAAGTGTGTCATGATTGAGAGCTGAGAATGCCTCCATATACAGCAGCAGACTCTCACTTATTCATTTTGTTCGGGTGAACATTATGCATGTGTGTGTGTGTGTGTGTGTGTGTGTGTGTGTGTGTGTGTGTGTGGGGGGGGTCTTCAAAAACTGTGGCCTACATATTGTATGCAAAGTCAGTGTGGAAACCGCCCCACTGGGGCTTTCAAATACCCGTCCTACACCGGCTGCTGCTGCTGACTGTTAAACGCAGCGGGTGATGTGTGATGCGTGTTTTCATATGTTACACTAGCGTGTCATGGTGACACGGTCTCATACGAAGGACAGTCTTTAAATGCAACATGTATTTGAATGTTCCCATCTGGATTGGTTCTCATCTGGAATCTGGAGGCCCGATCTCAGCGGCTGATATTACCAAACCAAATGAGCCTCAGCAGCCCTGAATATTTTAGTCTTCTGATACCACTGTGTGTGTGTGTGTGTGTGTGTGTGTGTGTGTGTGTGTGTGTGTGTGTGTGTGTGTGTGTGTGTGTGTAGGAAGCTGTGAGACTGAACCAAGGCACTTAGGTGGGTGATAATTATCTGTGGGTTTATCAGGATGAGGAAACCCATTCCCATTACGCAGACATTTGGTCCGCTGTTAATTCAAAAATACTGATTAGAGCAGCTTTAAAAAATAATATCTTAAAAAGACACCGGTTGGATGAGAAAAGCCAGAGATGTAACACTGGTGAGACCGGGTTGCTCCGGGGAGAGTGTCTTATTGTTATTCCTCAGGAGACAGCGAGGCAGCAACAGCCACATACCTGCCAGCACAACGCTTCAGGGCACGTTTGACTGAATGTATGGGCGCTCAATTAGGAGAGGGACGACGACACACCGCACTGTTCTCTGGTGCAGCTACTGTATATTTTATGACTTATACTGAAACACACAGATGTAATGTACGCCTGTCAAGACAGCGTAGCTTTAAGTGCTTCACCAGAACACAACAAAGTGACAATCACGGCATCAATCCCACGACATAATCTAAACCCACGTAGCGTCGCCTGACCCGAATTTTAAAAAACCCTTTTAAAAACACAATTTATTAACACAGTCACGGAGCGGCGCCTTCTGTTGATCAGCGAGTCTGGTGTGATTTATTTCACTTCCTCACTCTCTCTTATTAACATGGAAGACCCCAGCACTTGATCTGAGTCGAGCTGCTGTTTGAACATCTACTGAAATTCACAAATAAAAGGAAACACAAGTGGAACCGTGGAGATGAAACTTAAAAATGCTGTTAAATGTTATAGTATCTAAATACCTAGTGCAGGCTTATTAAAACTGACAGTACAGGCACTTTGAGGCTTTATTACATGCACGTATGTTTCCTGGACTGAGCCCGTTTTCTGCCCCTTCTCCCTGTGAGATCAATACTGTTCACAGTGCAATAACAACAGAGGAGCTGCTCCATTAAGTGACAGTGTCAGCCGCAGAGGAGCTGTCATCACCTGCCATCCATCACCACACCTCCACCTCCACCTCCACCACCGCTGCTCACTCCCACGTCCAATATGCCTCATTAATATAGATAAAAAAAAATGTAAAAAAAAAAAAACAGGATGAGATAAAGGTAATTGGCTCAATGTGAGTGATGCTTAATAACCAGGTTCATGTGAAGAGCTCAGGGGGGCTGTTAGGTGACTGAGTTCATTATTGAGGTCATGCTGTAAAAGCAAAGGCTGGACCACCCCCCCCCACTATCGAGTGCGGTAAAAATCAGAGGGAGACCAAATGTAGGCATCGCTTCACTACACACAAGGTCAGCATCTGATTTATGTTCCAAGTTACAGCGCATACATGCTGCAGTGATGATCATGAGACGCTGTGAGGCAGCTTCACGCCGAAGGAGGAATGACAGCTGCTGTATGCACATGGTTGAAATCAAAGGCAATTTCATAATTCACCCACAGTTACCATAGAGATGGCACCCCTGCTTTGTGCACTGAGGAGGACACATGAAGGACTGGTGCTGTCAGGAGGAACAGTGACGACATGAAATGCTGCCGATCTACTGTAACTACAGCACATGAGAAAACTAAAAAAGAATATCCACAGACTTTCCACAGAAGAGGCAACATCTCCAGGACAACATCGTTTGTATTAGGCAGCTGCAGAACTAATAGATACAGCTCAATGTAATGCTGAGAGGAGAGGAGGCGGTTAGAGGTGAGGCTGGATGTGCTCGACTCCCTCTGTGCTGACAGGTCTTGTTTACCTGTGATTTCTCTGTAATGGGTTTTTTTTATTCCAGCTGTCGGATCATACTTTGTAAATGGAAACGTCAAGCTCGATCTGAACATAAAGAAGAGCTTACGTTAGAGGATGCGTTCATATTTTCTCACGTCCGTCTTAAAACAACTGTCAGGTGCCCACGTCAACACTGGAACAAGTTTTAAATCAGTCCTTTTGTTCACACAGTCCATTAAGCTCACGCTTCTTATTGTGATTTCAATGCAACTTAAGCAAAAATACAATCAACAACATGGCAAATCAACAGAACATCCCTCCGCCACAGCTCAGCGTGAAAACACTGCACAGGTACTAAAAGGAAGTGTGGAAAAATATCTATTTGATCCTATGAAGCCTCATATCAAGGATGAAGACTGTGAAGCTCGTTAGGAAGGGTTCGTCTGAACAGGTGGGATGATTATAGCTGCTCAAATGCAAACGCGGGAATGAAAGTATTGTTATAAAGGCAGTTTACAAAAAGTGCAAAGCTGTGAATGATGAGAGTGCATCGTTCAGCTGATGGTTACCAGCTTGCGGAACATAAAGAAACACATCTGACTGGTGGAACAGAAAAACAGAGGAGATATTAAACGTGGCCTGTGGCGAACGTTTATCCGTAAATGTTGCTATCGCTAGTTTCCTTACTGCCAGCTCATCGTTGTGCGTTTAAGCTTCACACCTGTTGCCAAAAACAAGAAGGGGGGGGGGGGGGGGGTGTTGTGAGTGACAAAGATGCTGGTGGTCTAGTGCGACATCTAGTGGCAGTGAATATCATGTACCTAACCTTTAATATACATATAGTCTGTGTATGAGTGAGCGATTGGCCCCAGTGGTTGCTCTGTGTTGTTAGCTTCTTTTTTAATTGTGTGTCCTTACAAGAAACAAAGATCAATAAAATAAATAATAAAAAAAACTTTAATAACGCAAGAAATAGGAGGATAATGTGACGCTGCACAGACGGATACTGTATTGAACCAGTTTTAAAACCGTATTGGGTTCAAATCAAAACGTGGTCCGAGGATTTAAAAATCTTCCTGTGAGAATCAAACCGAAGTTTTACGTGTGAATGCCTCTTTAAAGTGAAGACTGCAACGGGTGGACAGAGGTAAGACTGAGATGAGTATTATGGGCTTTGTTCCAGATGTTGTTTACTTGTCCTGTTTACACTCACATCTAAGTCTAAAAAGAGTGTGAGTACAGAAATGTAGGCCGTCTTATTGTTTCCCACATCGAATATATTAACAGATGTGAAAATCAATACCAGAACGAGAGAGGAGCCCAGACAGCCTGAGGGTCCTGTTCAGCTACTGGTGAAAATTACAGCTAAAATCTGTCTCGGCTGCATCAGATATAAACACGTGCACTTCTGCGTTGTGAATTATCCCATAGAGGAAACATTGAGCAAATTTACTCCTTAGATTTAATCACAACAATTAAATTCTGCTCTGTGTATGTTTTGTTTTTTTATATATCTCATAAGACTGGGGAAAGTATCTCCCTCTCAATAACTGTGTGATATTTCAGTTATTCTGCAGCGCTGAATGCTTCTTCCTGAAATAATAAAATGTCAGGATTTAGTTTTGTGAGGGGGGGGGCACCTGACAAATCGCCCACAGGTGGAGCAGCGACAGCAGCAGATATGAGGTGCCAGTTAGGAGAGTTGTATGCAGCAGCACTACAGGCTGACTGATGGTTGGACACTCAGACTCCTGTCACTGGTTTAAATGAGCAAATCTTCTGACCCACCACAGACAAAACTGCAGGTACCCACTGTCTGACTGCCCCCCCACCCCCACCCCCACCCCCCCGGTGCACTCATCAAGCACCAGCTCCGCAAAACAGTTAGCAAGAGTGTCACACTGAAAAACATAATTGGACCGGTAGCTGACACGTATTTAACTGAGTGTCACGATACAGAGTTCAGTCCTGGAACTCTTAATTTGGAAGCTAGCGGAGAACGATGCTATCACATCCGGATTAAAATGCTTCCTCTGAGCTCAGGCTATTTGCATATTATTACTGAAATAGGTTTTTCAAAACAGTTTCATGACATGTAAATTGGTCAAAGGATACTCCCTTCTTTGCTCGTCTCTTGCATACTTTCCATCCCTGGAAGAGCAGCTGCCACGCGCCGAAACAGCTGGAAAGACAGAAACAGAAGGAGAACATTTCATATTTTCTGCAAAACAACATGTCAAAAGTCTGCTGCAGTGTTTTGGGATCAGCCTTTTCCTAATTTCTATGCAGCCATTTATTACTATTCGTTTTTATTAGCATATTAAGCACGTGGTTGTCAAAGTGAAATTATTATTGAAGCCTACTGCAGTCGTGACACCAGACTGATTTAAAAAGCAGCTGCTCTCCATTACTACACCATAACAATGTGACTAACAAAAATAAAAGCGTGTGTCCATTACTGTGACTGCCAGACCGAGAACAAGTGTCAGCTCTCTGATGTTCATTTTCATATGGTCTGGGAATGAACACAAACAACTGCGACACAAGTTCATCCACTGTTTTACTTCAGTTATCACAGAAAAAGAAGAAATTACAGCTTTAGTAAGGGAAAAATAAACGATAACATTCAAATCAAAAGTTATAATTATGTCCTTCCATTATTACACTTACCATCTGTAACTACAGGATGTTTATATTTTTGTATATTTAACACTTTTATTCTAAATATTGTTAAAATTATCAATGTATATTTAAGCTGTATCTGACCTGCAGTACTTGCTTGTTGTTTTATCTTTGTTTATATTTCTTTTCTTCTTACTATGTTGGTTGTTATGCACCAAAACAATATCAGTTCTCATAGACGATCAGTAAATTGATGCCTAAAAGCTTGAATCTGCCGATACAGTATCTGGGCGATGACGCAGCTGAACAGAGTGAACACTGCAGCGTTTGGAGGCAGGACTGTGACTGTGCTCCACTCTGGCATTTTGTTCTTAGCGCTCACAGTCCTGGAGTGAGGTGATGAATAGCCTCCTCTGTCTGTGCTGCTATGGGGCGAGAGGGAGAGACGCCCCGGCAGCAACACCATTCGCTGACGGACACAATACAGTTTGCTTTCATCTCACGACTTATTAACTTAACAGACGGTCGTTGTTCTTGACAACAAACATCTGTTTAGAGACAAATCACCGTTGCTGATCCACACTTCTCTTTGCGTTTGCAACCCCCCCCCAAATATTTCTAAACATCAGCGTATACTGAGTCCCAGTAAAGTAAATAAATACATGTACAATTCAGTCTTAGTGAGATGCTGGTAGTGGCAGTTTGGACTACAAGTTGTATTTAGTATGTAAAACAAGAGACCATTAAAAGGCACCCTGTGGAGTTTGTGACCACTAGTAGTGATGTGGAGCAATATGTTTGCATCCCCTGCAAGACACGATTCATAACCACCAGCTTCATGCTATACCGCCAATGCACAGCTGGTGGCAGTAATGTGCCAAAAAAAACCAAAAAACGTAGCAATGCGCCAGGAAAGACAGTGAAGAAGAAGGGAAAAGGCATTGTGGGAAATAAGTAGTTTGTACGAGTGTGTTTCAGTGAGAAACAGTGAATGAAATCATAAAAGACCACAGGATACCTTTAAACTGCCTCACATCCTGTCATAATAACTATGATGTAATGATCATTACTAGATGTTAAAGAGGTCAAAAGTGATCTAATCCACACATTGATGTAGAAATATTTATAACAGCACTCATGTCCCAAAGTCAAATATGTGCCAGTAGAGAGAAAGCTCACATTAAGCAGTTTCAACAACATCTGTTTACTTCATTAACATGCAGATATATGCAGCACGAGGTGCAAACTAGATTGAATTGCAGTTTAACGTCACATCGCCTGATTTATAAGAGACACCTGCGGCTTCTTCATTAAACACTCGTGAAGCGTCTCTGAACTCACTCACCTGTTTGACGTTGTAACCCGTCTTGGCGCTCGTCTCTATGAACATGACGCTCAGCTCCTTAGCCCTCTGTTCACCTTCCTCAATTGTGATTTGCCTGTGAATGGAGGGGCATTATCATCAGAGCACTGCAGATTAATGCATTAGAGGTAATTATACAGCGTTTACAGTCTGAGGACACACACACAAATTCTCATATTAACATTTAACAAAGACGAGTAGATACGACACAAGACTCACAGCGAGGCTACTACAGCTCCAGTTATTCTGGGCTAGTGAGGATACACCAGACTTAATTAGCTAATGACTGAGAATGATTAATTACATCGTCCTGCAAGAAATTAATAACAGCCAATTTGCATTAGATTTTAATGAATCTGGCGGTGATTGTTTGGCTCTTGCTGTGAAACGGGAGACTGTTGTCAGGTGTCCATTAACACAAAAGGAGAGATCAGTGCGGTACTGCTGACTCCGCAGCACGCGCCGGCAGCAGGTTCGTTAAGACGACGGGCTTAAATCAACCTGCCACTGCTCTTCTGGGGGGGAAAAAAAAAGCCATGACGTAACCAGCCTGTTGTCTTTGTTCCTCTCGACACAAAAGGAATCTCAGCTGTGTACTAACTCAAAAATACCACTTCTTTACTTCTTGTTCTTTTCTCAACTTGACCTGAAGAGGTTGTAACACCTGACTAAACATGGCAACATCGAAGTCAACTGCAAGTTACGCTGCTGTGCAAAAGCCTTAACCGCAGTGACATTACACTTATTTACACTTAAATAACTCTCCCCGTGTATCACAGCACAGAAGAAAAGGGGAAATTCAGTCTTTGTGAGGTAGGAAAAGAGGTTTCTGCAGCGAGAACAGAAAAAAAACACTGCACTGGAGATGTATTTACATAATAACACCACCTGACAAGAGTTGCAACAGTGCCTCTGTGGCTATTTCTGGAGGCAAGCGTCTCAGTCCCAACTTAAACAACACCGAGGCTTATTCATCATCAGACAGGCAGTTGGCAAGAAAATTGCATAATAGGTGCGCAAGATGTGGCATCCTAGCAACATTCATGCACGCTCGCAGAGCTTTTGTAGTTTCAGAGCAGCTCAGTCATGAAATATGTGACATCGTCTCTCACTTAAAGCCACTGGTGATTTCTTCAAGCAAATCTGTAAATGATGTAAAAAGAGTTGTACAGGTACTATCCTAACTCAAGCATAACAAAGATGACAAGAGACTGATTTGCTTATTTTTGTTTAGCAACTCACTCTAACAAAACCACAAACAAAATTACAAACTAATTTAAACCAGCTGGTGATCATAACGCAGGATTTAGGAGCTAAAGCGCCAGGTATTTCTCTCAGGAAGTACAGCAGACCAAAACAAGGCCATAACGAAGAGTATTGCACTTACATTTACAGGAGGCTAATAAAACAATTGAGCCAATCAAATACAATCAAATAAATGCTCATGTTGCTCTGGTTCTGCAGGACGTGTAAATAGACAACTGTTTGCTGATATCTTCACCGTTACATTATAAAGTGATAATATGTCAGTGTTGTGTTTGCAGCTTGTTGCACTGCCCCCTGGTGGCCAGAAAAATCACTTCATGCAGGTTTGACATAAGCTTCAACACAGTAGTATTAATTGCATGGATAGTGTATTATCTGTTTGTCTAACTTATGTACGAAAAGCATGACAATTAAAACTATATTAGCTTTTAAAAATGGCTTCACACCAAAGTATCGTAGTAGCAGTGTAGAAGAAAAGCTGAGAACGGCTGAGCAAAGAACTCAATTAATGCTCTGACTTAACAAGTACAGTTTAAAAAAAAACAAAAAAAAATCCCTGAGCTACTTCCTGTCAGTGTGCAGCACACCAGGCTCCACTTTTTTGATGCTGCCTGGCGTACGATGCACACTACATTTCCTTTATGCAGAGGAGCTCCAGGGGCTCTACAGGACTTTAACTGTGCGTACTTTAATTCCTCCAAGCACCGAGCGTTGTGAAAAACTCCCACACACGAATGAACAAAGCAACAGACACAAAGGAAACCCTGCTAACATACGTTTAGAATCATAATATTCCTCTCCTTGTAAATCGATTTAAAAGAGAATAAAAATGCTGCATATAATAAACACCTCAATCAGAATAAAGAGGCACAAAGCAATTAAAACTTCAATGGATCGGTTGCAGAGGGGAAGTTTAAACCTTTTCATAAACCGATCAAAAGAAAAACTGCACCATGTAAATGGTTTAAACTGATTACTTTTCTAGATGCGATGCACATACATTTCTCCTCAAATTTTTGCACGTGTCACACAGGTTTTTTAATCGAATGCATCAGTGCATGTAAACACCTGAATGTATTGAATCATGAATCACTTCAATTGGTCCTCACGAGCACCTGAAAATCGAACCGCACCTCTTCACAGTAACGTAACACACATGTGCGTCAGTGCTGATATGGTGAAAGACAACGTGACCAAAAATGCATCACTGACTTATTTTCAGGTCTTTTTTTTTTTTAAGGCCCAGCTACAAAACCAGACACATGGAAACTGAGAGGAACACACTGCATCACCTCTGCTGTAGAAAACATCTTCTCCCACATGTCGAGATATTTCAGGAATTTCAACCCACCTTTCAGTGTCAGCCACTTTATGTAGAGTGGCGTTAGATCATGTGCCAAGTCATATTTCTACACGTGTCGTATATAATCCAAATAAAATATATCAGCTACAATTTATCAGCTGAAATCATCCATTGTTACTCAAAGCCCCTCGGGCAGTGGGCACACACACACACACACACACACACACACACACACACACACACACACACACACACACAGAGCCAACAGTGACAGAAGCATTTATCATCTCATGTCAAACCACGTCTGCATGAGGAGAGTCACTGTGATTAACCTCAATTTCCTTGTAAACATGAAAAAAAAGGTAAATAAATAAATAAATAAATAAATAAAAAGGTATAAAAAATAAAATGATTTACAAGCTTCAGAATGATTGGTCAAGACCATGTAGGTAGAAAGTGGAGCACTGACAAGTTGCGGCGTGCTGTAATTTAAAAAGCAATAAAATGCCAGTTTAATTTTTCTGCAATGATTTGCGCAAAAACCTATAAGACTCTTACTCACAGCGGCGAGGCTGATTTACCTCTCGTAAGAAGCAAATTAGGAGAGGATGCTGAGGTCATGTTAATGCAGTAAAAGGCTTTTGCTTCTGTACCATGGATCATTCACTGGGGCTTTAACTTGCAGGTCCCATTAAGACCCAACGTAATTGGCAGTTAAGACAAATTATCCATAAATTAAAGGGAAATCAATCATTTTCAGCACTCTTTCGATGGAGGCCCACACCGTCAATATAATTTAACTTAGCACCCCACCCTGTTCTGTAGTTTATATGACAGCTCAGATGACAAAATGCAATCAGACAAAAAGCAACTTGCATTCAGGCTCCTAACCAGCTAACTTAAAGTGCATTGTTCAGTCTTTATTCTGTATATGCATATACTTGCTTGGCCATGCCTGGTCTTACTGTGTGTATATACTGTATATATATATATATATATATATATCTGTGGCCTGAATCCAGAGCTTCTGTCTTCTGCCTGCTGTTATGGCAGCCATGAAGTTTTATTGGCAGATCCAGTGAGATACAGCCTGGAAACTGCCATCACCAGCAGTTTTCCTGCTTTGCCCTCAGTCAGTTACATGTTGGATCTAAAATATGAGTATGCCAATGGGAATTTTATTTCTGCAGCGCCAAGTACATCCTCGACACGTTAACAATGCTGTAAATGTTATCGTTACCGCATGGGCATATAATGCTTGCCACAACAATGTGTGAACAATTTGTGCGTGATTACTCACCACATAAAATGTTATGAGGGAACGGTATTTGTGAAAACGCTCACCTGAACAATTTATCTAAACATGCAGTGTGGCTGCATATTTGACAGGGGAAGAGAGAAGGAAAATAAACAGGAAGTAGTCTGATTCTACACTGGACATCACCTTACCACAAACTCACAGACATTTTCTAAAAAAAATTGCACTAAAAATGGTCAACCACACCAGAAAGTTGATGGTCAGCTGTTTAAGTGTGGACTCGTGAAATGTCTCCATTGAAGAAGGAGACCGGGAAACAGAGCAGCATCTGTCCAAAACAAATGAAAGGATGTCCCAGAGGCTTGTTGTTACTTACAGACGGTGGACCAGAAACAATAGAGGAGAAAGATGAATTAATGCACCAGATGAGCCGTTTGTCAGCCTCCAACTTCACATATATTGAGAAATTAATCAGGTTTCTGTTTTATTAAATAATTTTACTGCCTCCAGTGTCCTTTGTTAAAAGACTTCGGAAAAGCACTATACAAATAAAGTTATTATCCATATTATTGCTCAGCATGGCATGCATTTTTCTATATATATATTTTTATAAGAAGCATTTTATAGTTTAATTTTCAGGGGACATAACAGATACATACATTTGTGCTTCACAGGAAAGAAAAGAAGCAGTTACATAAAAACACTTGAGAGTTTACAGCCATGCTGCACTTAAGCACTGTGGTGCTTGAAGCTAAATGCTAAAGTTGGCATGCTAACATGCTCACAGTGACAATGCTAATACTTTAATGTTATGATGCTTATGTTCACTAACTTAGTTTATATTACTTGGTTTATTTTAGCGTGTTAGCATGCTAATATTTGCTAGTTGATGTTCTATGGTTCACCAACCACCAACCAAGAGATACAGTATCTCTTGTAACAGAGATGATTTACTTAAAATAAAAAGAAATACACTATTGAAAATTCAGTATAACTATGTTGGTGAAATGCATAAATGTAAAGTGGATTAGCTTGATTTCTTCTTATTTACATGAAAAGAGGGAGCAACTTTGGAAAAGATTTCCCAGGGTGTTGGAGGGGAAAAGAAAGATTTTGTACAGTAAGTATCGTTCATATATTTTAGCACCAGGACATAAGACATTTTATGCTTTACTTCTGATTTTATTTTGTGCTATTCTTACACTATTGTGTATCTCTGCTTCATGTCATTTCATTATTACCCTGTTCCTATAAGCATTCCCTTATGTCTATAAAATATTTAATATATAATGTACACAGATTTTTCAAGTGTCACCGGGGAATAAATCAATGAATAATTTCTCCAAGCAAGGAATAATTTTCTCATTTCAAGGCAAGTGGTCTGTTCCAATAAAAGGCTGCTGAGTCGCCTCATGTCCCAATTCAATCACTACAACAACACTAAATGCGAGCAGTTAAGCTAATGAGTGTATTAATTAAGATTAAGCACAATATTACAAAATATTTGCCATGACGACAGAAGGAAACGCTGGCTAAAAGGTGAAAAAGGGGTTCAAATAGTGAAGTTAGAGGCGTGGGTTACCTCTTATCTGCCAGGTCTGTTTTATTGCCGACGAGCATAATGATGACATCACTTCCTCTCTCTGTTCTCACATCGTCGATCCATTTTGACGTCTGCTGGAATGAGTTAACATCTGTTGAGGGAGGGAAGAAGCAAAGCGCAGTCGAATTAAAAAGCTATTTGTACAATTTCAATGACAGTCAATACACTGACATCTCTCCTGCCGTTGGCGCTCTGAACAAAAACATTAACATTAACATCATCTCGGTTTTTAAAACAGTGATATGATTGGTGTTTTTAAAACAGCTGGTGATAAATAATGAGAAATCAGCTGATATGAAACCATTAAGATGAAGATACAGAAAAAAATATGGCACATCATTATAAAAATATCTCACATATCTTGACCTTAAGATACGAGTTCATGGATATACGATATGTAAAATCCACACAGTACTGGAATTACACAATAAATCCAGGAAATACGGTTTATTACCAGCTATCCCTTTGACCTTGCCAAGTTCATTGAGCATGCAGCCTTGCTGGCATGCAGACTAAGGGGTCGTATCGTATTGTTGGACTGGGACTTTGAGGAGACATATGCTGCGTTTCAAGGTGAAAAAGAGAACGTGGTTACGGTGGGCGGTACCCCATGTTTTTACATAAAATTAGGAATAAAATTCATCTCCTGAAAGCAGCAATGTTACAATAAGTTTCTTAGTCTTTGCACTTTTATAGCAGATAAGTAATATTGCACAGTTGGTGTGTGTGTGCAATTAACATACACCAACTGTGCAACATTACTTATCTGCTATTTATTTGCTATATTTAAATATCTGATTGTACATATTATATTATTAATCTTTTTTTTTAAGTATTTGACATCAAAATTTTGCAGTTTCACTTTGCTGCTGTAACACTGCAAATACGCCCATTGTCGGACTAATAAAGGACTAACTCATTTTATCTTTTAAACTAATGAAAACAAGCAAAGTCACGAATGCTTTCCTACTGCGAAGCACAATATAACAGCTCGGTGATTAATTCAGGATAGACAGAAAAAACTGTTCTCTCTGAAAAGGAGTCATTTACAAACCACAAGAAAACTACACCAGAGGCTGAAACTGGTGCTTTTCAAGAAGTAGTTGCAGAGCAGTGACCCTTCAAATCCCCTTGACTTTCCCTTAAAAGAAACCCACCAAAGTGGTTCTTGTCCTCAATGGACAGAGAGAGGGAGATAAAATAAGATTTAACCAACACAGTTCTGTTATGTGGTTACTGGTTCTAAGGGAGAATTTCAGAAGGTGGGAGGTTAATGTGATTCATCTGATCTCATCTGATTGCTCAGTGGATCCAATTTGGGAAATATTAAAGTGATATTTGATATTTGTGAAATCTGATCTTAGATCTCTCATCTCAGGGAAATCCATCTGACACACTTTAACAAGAGAGAGAGAGAGAGAGATTAGCTCTGGCCACACATCTTGACACTAAAATGTAAACAAACAAAAAATATTTGAAGATATAACAGTCACTTAATGGGTAAATTCAGCAGACTTTTTGAAAGACACTGACTTGTAATGTCGTAGACCACCACAGCTACAGTGGAGTCCCGTATATAACTGGGAATGAGGCTCCTGAAGCGCTCTTGTCCCGCTGTGTCCCAGAGCTGCAACCTCACCTGGGGTTGAGAGAGAGAAAGCTGAGGAGGCTGAGATTATTCAGATAGTCAGAGAGCCTGGAAACAGTAGGCTCCCTCCAGACACACAGGCTTACACAACACACACACACACACACACAAACACAAACACAAACAGGCATTATTCGTATGAGTGGACTCCTCACGATGACACTTCCAAGGCTGCACTGCTGTATGAAAGATTCCCCAGGAAAAACAGACATGCAGACATGTTTGATTGTATTCATCTACATGTCATGAGCTAGAGAGATTTCATGCTGCTCATCACTACTGCTGGGTAAAGTTTGATTTCATGCAGGTCAGGACATCACTGTGAAGATGAACAACAGAACGTGTTCTCTCTGAGATACTGCACTGCAGACACATAAACATTATTTTGTGGAGTTACAGCTGTAAGTGAGAGTCTTACCGTTCGATCTTCCAAGTACATGGTTTTCGACAGGAAGTCAATTCCAATTGTGGCCTAGTTTAGGGAAAGAAGATATTCATGCGTCAACATCACTGTAAATTAAGGTAGAATTATATATATTTTTTAAAGCTTATATTGTATTGACAGATATTGTGATTGCATTTTTTCTGAGAATGGTAATTTTTGCATTTCATTTGCACTTAAAAAAAGAAGTTATAATAATGTTCTGTCTGATTTGTAGGCTGCAGCATCTCTGTAGCATCACAATGCTTCTTTTATAATGTTATGTTGCAACACATTTGACCTTTATCAAAAACATATCAATTTGTACTTGGCCATATCAAAATTTCAATGATATTTTGATTAATTTGTACAGCCCTAGTGTAAATACCACAGCAGAGCATTTACCGGGGAAATAAATAATGGGAATTAAAGAGACAAATGGTGAAGAGGAGGACAGATTACTGCAAGATCCATAGTTCACTGCAGTCCTGATCACATCACAGGGGAAATAAATCTCATGGAATAAATGCAATCCAATGCAATAGCGCTGTAAAAAGACACCTTTGTTAATGCAACTCTGTGCTTATTTTTGAGGCCCGAGGCTTTTGATGAATCATCAGATGGAGTCAGTTTTTAAACTGGAGCAGGTGACGGTATGTCAGCTGTTACTGTGCTTCAATTATCACAACTACTATATTGTTTAAATATGTAGTTTGTGTATTTTATATGGTTTTTATACTGACACGGGCTTAAAGTCACTCCATATTACTCATTTTAAAATTGCAATCTAACCATTCCCTTGTTGTGCTGCAAGGCAGATGGCACCGTGTTCCCTCTTCAAGGGATGTTTCCTTTCTGCAGCCAAGCCTACAGCTCTCAGCTTTGCAGCCTGCCATGATATCATCAGGTGCTCTGGCTCGGACAAACCAAAACCTAGAAATGGAAGTTAAACTGCAGATCTGGGTTTGTTTGTTTTACTGGATTTTGAAGCCAGAACTGTTCAGTTTTGGACATGTAACAATGACGTTTCAGATCTCACAATTACAAAGATGGCTTCTTTTCAATAAACAATACACTGCCTTTTTAAAACATTAATATCATCATTATGAAATTCATTATAAACAGTGGCTATTCTATTAGTGTTTTGCAGACATGGACCATCTGTTGTAAATCTTCTATATTATATTAGACAGCATGCACATTAAATAATTTTAAGAACAAAAGATGCATTGTGGGAAACAGAAGAGTTTTGAATGAGAGACTTTCCTTGACAGCTGACCAAGGCAGATGTGGTTTGTGACCCTTTCATGTGGTGCATCCAGATGTTTGGGTTCTCAGTGTGTGTGTGTGTGTGTGTGTGTGTGAGGGGGCGGGGGTTTAAAGGGCTCGACGGTAGCTTGTGTAGGACTGACCCGGGATTATGCAGCAGTCCCCAGCTGTATGGTTATAGCCTATGTGACCTTAGCCTGTAAACTCCAGCACCGGCCAGCTGGAGCCCCTACTGTAAATGGATGACAGGTCTGACAGGGAATTACTAGTCTGCAGACTAGAGGATGCAGCTTCCCTCCAGCACTTTTTTCTTAGACTGTGTATCATTTGCACCACGACACATTTTATACACTTGTACCCGTCCTTTGATTAGGCAAGTTGGTGTATCTGTTGTGTTTGTCTATATTAGGCTGGCAGTCCAGCAGGGTGCCCGCTGCCCACTTTGACAGAGCTGGGCATCAGCAGCTTGATCACGCACTCGTTTCCTTGGCGATGCCAGCTACCACAGTGAACTAACTCAGAGAGTCTGGCATGAAGACAGGACGTCATTTATACTCTTCGTTTACACTCAGTCAGATCAAGCGCAGTTAGGATGAAAGTAAAGCCGCTCAAAGAATTCAAATTATAAAGTGCTGGATACAAGATTATAGTCAATGAAATAAAAATGTATTTTCTGGTTGTATCAGCATCAAAACAGACACTTATTTCACATGTCATACCATCACCAGAATTACCCCTTTGGTTCAATTGAGTAAACATAAAGATTTGCTGATTTGCAGTTATATTATTGACATTGGAGCTTGAATGAAGTTGAAAGCTGAGAGATGTGGCAGAGGCTTTTCTTGGGGGCTGGCAGAGGTGCTGTACCCAGTTTTAAATATAGAGTCCCACACAGACAGCTATAACATGAACAGATTAGATCATTAGAAATTATTAATATTTCTTTTAAATTTTTAACCAGCGCACATTGTTAGAAGACAGACCATGACTCTCGTGGCCATTCTGCTTCAAACACATCTGAGAGATTTCACTGATTTTACTTTATAAATGCATTTTTCACTTGAATACAGCCATCTTAAGATATTTTTTCATTCCATTACGGGGCAGGAAAGATACAGTACATTGGGTCTTTAGAGCTTTTAACAGGAAACAGCTGTGGGCTTGAAATGCTGAACCCAAATCCAGACAACAAAACGACGAACAGAAACTTCACAGAGGGAAATGGGAGCAAACCTGGATTTAGTAGGACAACAGACGGACTGACAAAGACAAGTGGGAGCACAGAGACCAAATACACACCAGGGAGGCAAGGGTGATTGAACACAGGTGAAACACATGAGGGCGGGGCAGACAATCAACAAGGAGGGAAACACGAAGACACAGAGATGGGAAGTAAAAACACAGTGTATACATAAGGAAGCTACAAAATAAAAACAGGAAATGAATCAGTCCAATAAGTCCAAACAAAAAAGGCAAACTGAGACAGAGCTGCAAACTGACAAACAAAGCTGCATAACCCGTACTCACTACTGCTGCCTGAGAGCACTCCACAGGCCTTCATCATCTCAGAGATGCTTAGACGAGGTCATGAGTATACAGAGTGTTGGTCTTGTGACCGAGCTTTAATCGCTGCACATAATTAATGAACACAAGACTTTATATCTTGTCACGTTTTTGACGATTTTTTTTTTTTTTTTTTTTCCCCCATTGTGGTGGTTTCTGCTTTTTGTGTAAGCAGAGAATCTAAATATTTCTTCCACCACCACTGCTCCCATCAGGACTTTCAAGGTCCTCCATCTGGCAGGGACGCCGTTAAACCAACAGACCTTGAAGCACAGTGAGCATACTGGCATTTGCTCACAGTGCCGTATTTAACAGCAGTTTGTGAACACACCAAATCTCATTCATTTGAAGTCTACTGCCAGCACAAGAGGAAATAGATCAGTATATAAATCACGCCTGCTTCTTCACACAGCAGGCAGTTACACCATGCTGGATTTGTAACCACTCTAATGGGTAGTGGCAGCGCAGTCATGATTAGTCTGTTTAATTCAGTAGATTTTTACCCCGATACAACATTAATTTGGAGTTGGAAGTGGTAACACAAGAGCTGCAACTAATAATTATCTTCCTTTATTGATTATATATTGAGAGTTTTTGATAAATCATGTAGCATATAAAACAAAAAATCTGAAAAAAAAAAAACCCCCACGCCTCCAAGGTAACATCTTCAATTTAAAAACTTTATATTCAATTAACAATCACATAACAGAAAGACGCAAATCTAAACGCTATTTATGCTAGAAAATGACTTGATCGATTATCGACATAGTTGTCGATTAATTTTCCAATATATCAATTGTTTCATCTCTATCCTGTTTTCTCAAATAGTTCTAAATACTGGAGATAATGTGGAATATTATTTGCAAACTAAACCATTTTCAAGTGCAGTATACTGGAAAATTCAGCTGAAATACAAAGCTGATCACATTTAATGGGTCATCTTCTGCTTCAAGTCACAAAGTGTGACATTTTGTACATTTCTGAAGCGTCCTAAAAGTCAGATTCACCGGTCGCTACGCTAAATATCTGAGTATTTGGGCAGAGCAGACAGATGCGGTCACAGCCTGGTGGCCAGGCCTGACTGACAGCTCCACCGCAGCTGACAAAAGCACTCTGCCTCTGGAGGCCTCTGAGCCCTTTAGCATGTGCTGCCAGGCAGTGAGGACGCCTGCCTGTGTCTCTCTCGGCTGGGTGGCTGCTTGATGGGACTCTGCTGCTTTAGAGGCAGCAAATCTGGCTCACCTCACTCACATCCTCCTGCTGACTAAAGCCACTGCCATGCTCGGTTTCATCTTTCCGATGGCCCTGGTTCTCTAAATAGACTCCTATTCTTCCCTCTAAGGATTGAACTGGATCAGCTCAAATCTAAAAGCTGGACTTACATGAAAACTAAAGAAAATAAACGTGGTGATCTGTGAGCCTGAATAACTTCTCATGAATCTTCTCATCAAGACACGTCTCCCGCAGGCTCGCATTCATAGCATCTTTCCACCCTCGCTGGGCAAACCCAGCCTCCCCTCTGAGCGACAGCATAAACACTCAAACCGAGCAAATGCATGCAGCATTTTAATTAATACTCAAAAAGGTCTCGGGAGTTGAGCTAGAAAAAGACTGCGAAATCATTTACAGCCCTACCTGTCACTGCGCCAGGAAGGAAAAGACACAGGGAAGAAGGGGGAAACACACACACACACACACACACACACACACACACACACACACACACACACACACACACACACACACACACACACACACACACACACACACAGGATAAAACACACACAGTTAGGAGAGACTGAGCTTTGTCTTTGATCTATAGCTACAAGGCAGAGGTTACGGCACCCATAACAAAATCATTGATCCACTATCTGTAAAATAAAAGCAATATGACTGTAAGAAGGGGATGACAAGGCTGTTTTGTGAACTCAATGGATGTAAATGGTTTTGTTTTACACACAAATAAACTAATGATCTGATTTTCATACCCCTCCCTGGCTGCTGTTATCGTTTGTAGGCACAGGCCATTACAATAGTGTGAGGCAGAGGCTGACATTAAACAGCATATGGGAACATTATTAAATAAGCAGATGCTATCTGTCTGGCATCTGCTGCCTCCCCACGTAAAATGGGAGGTCACGGCTAAAAAAGTAAGGGTGAGGAGAGGCCATTTGTCTATAGAGAACCATGCCCCTGCCCCCTAAATGCTCCTCAGAATG